ATATTTTGAATATTGTGTTTTATATTATAACCATAAGAATTTCTAACTCCATGTGGGATCGATACTTCGAACTTCATTAGAGCTCTTTATTACTTGAGTGATATGTATACTTGTGTTATTATTACGGTTTGACATCTTAAAAATTTTAAAATATAAAACTATTTATAATAAAGTAATTTTTATTGTGAATGATCTGCATATTTACTAATTATGTTGTCATGTGTATGTTGTAATATTGAAAGATATTTACAACACATACACAAAAATTGCCTCATCACATATTAAAATATTTTTTATATAATATCTTCAATACTGTGATGAATATTAAGGGTAAAACTAAAAGTAATGTTAAAATGAGATTGTATTGGATGAGGTGTCACAAGAGGAAGGAGTTAGAACTTCAAGAGACAACTAAATGCAAAGAGATAAAGCTTAAAGATATGTATTGTCTAATCTTGGATAAAAAATAATAATAATGTGTGAATGGTTGCAATTTTTGAAGTTCTCTAGAGGATATGTGTCTAACTTAAGCCACCACGTTGACTTTGAAGCAGGGAAGATATCACGACAGTCATATTTTCTTATAGTGCTTACTTCTAACTGCATTTGGTGATTTGTAATTGGACTCTTAGTTCATTAATCAAAATTAGTGCATAATTCAAGGATTTATGTGAAGTAAATTTGAAATTTGATGCACTGAGACATCTTGAAATAAATATCTGATGTGCCTAAAAATGTACTATTTTTTATGATATATTTTATAATGATATTTTACTTTAAAGGTATGTTTTCTTGTGTTTTTTGGTTGTAGATACATCAAATTGAAGAATTTAGAGTGATTGGAGCAAAAGGAACAAAAATAGACCAAAATGGAACAAACCGGAGCAAATCAGGTCGAATCGGGGCACACCGGAGCTATGGGGGCTGAAACCATACACTTAAGTACCTGTGCTTGATGCTTAAGCACCCAAAATGTCACTTAGGCACCACCAGACAGAGAGGAGGGCACTTAAGCGCCCAAAAATCAGCGATTAGGCACCAAAAATAGTTTTCAACACATCTTCTAGAAATACATCAGATTTAGACGATTTTTGAAGAATTTCTTTGTATTTCTCTTAGGGAATTCATTACAAATGATAAAAGAGACTTTCTAGAAGGATTTGGGGCAGTTAGAAGGAGTTTTGAAGAGGCACTTGAAGCACCTTTTGGAAGATTTAATGAATATGGACATTTTTGAAGAGACACTTCAGAATCTCTCGGGAAATTATAAATAAGGCTTAGAAATATTTTTAAAATGACTCTCAAACTCTCTTGAAGTAATTGGAAGAGGAGAAGAAGGCTTGAAGGAGAAAAAGAAGGCTTGGGCGTAAGCCCCAAGTTGGGCGACAAGGTGAGAGAGAAAGAGAGAGAGTGAGAGATTTCTTATTTTCTTTTCACTTTGTTCACGGAGAGGATTGTAAGGAGATTGTTTTTGCTATGCAAGGAGAGTTTGATTTACATCAGAGATAAGTATTTTCATTATATTTTGATTTGAATATAGTACTTTTTTGGTATGGTTTCAAAGTCTTGTTCAATGAAAAGTTCTTGTTGTTTCTCCATGTGTAGTGAGTAGTTTTCTTTACCCTTCCCTCTTACAATGAATTAGTATGCATGTGTAGGATATAAAATTGAGTAGAGTGAGAATATATTGTGATGATTTTACTTTGTTCTTCATTTATATGTAAACTTGATCAACTTGCATGTCAAAATCTGTTGTGAGAACATGTAAGATCCGTGATGGTATTGTCTCAATCAACTATGGTAGAATCATATAAGATTGTATGGATGAGAATGTAGTCCATATGGTTGAGTGCAAATAAATGGGGATATATACTTTGATGGGTGTAGAATTATAGTACTATAGAGTGACAGGCTAAAGCCCCTTAATTTGGTCTATTGTTTTAGGTTTTGATGTGAGATGTTAGCCTCCAGGTGGAGGGATAAGAGGGAACTCTAGAGTGAGAGCTAGTATCTTCTCTTCAAACTTTAGATTAACCAATGTCTTTATAGCATCTCTAGTAAGGGTAAAGAATATAATTGCTCCTATTTGTCACAATCTTTCTCTCACTACTTGTTTTACTTTTACACATGTCACTAATTTCATTGCATGAGGAAGGATACCTTTAATATATTAAACTCCACTTTCTGATTTTCACTAAGTATTTTAGTTTAGAAGTAGAAGTAGTATTGTAGTGATAATTTTAGGATATAATCAAAATTAAATATTTATCGACCTTCCAAGCTAGTGCGTGTTATTCTAGACTAGAACTTCTCTTAAAAGCCATCGTGATTAACCTCAATCTCCATGGGATCGATATTCGAGAAACACAATGTTGATTTTTTGTGCCAGGGATGAGAGATTCAAGAGGCCCAATGCCACCATTGCGTAGCTGCAGCACGATGTATAGTGTCATGGCAAGGGACCTCTTAGTAATGTGTCAGAGGAGGAGGTGAAAGAGGACGAGGAGGAGGACAATGATGAAGCTCTGTAGAGGTTTTATTTATTATTTTTTATTTTATATTTGGATGTGTCATTTTATGTATATTTATTTCTATAATATTTTGGGTATTTATGTATTGTATGATTTATTAAATTTTCTGAGTTATGTATGATGACTTCATTCGTTATCAATTTCTTTATAAGTTTGTTAAATCTGTAATGAGATATAGTTCTTGTTGGTGTTGAATGTTATGATATCTGCTTGCAGGTGTTAAAATTTTGATTGGTTTTCCTTATTTTTTAAATTTAGTACAAGGTTGCGACTGATTTATGGTGAAATTTTCAGAAGTCAATTAATGTCAGATGAAATCAGACGCTAATGTAGCTATTAATACACGACTGTTCAATTCTACCACAAGTTATATTACGACTAAAAAAACTGTGTAAATCCGACGCACTTTTGTGACAAAAAAAATCATGCACATGTTCAGTTGTTAAAAATTTGTCTGATCTTTTCGTATAAAAATAATCAGATAGAAAACCGCTGCAAATGTTGACAGTGAAATTATTTGACACAAATTCCTTTGCGACAGAGGTTTTAACGCCAAATTATTTTCTGTCGAATTTCAGCCAGTAATAATTGTTATTGGCAGAAACTCATGCCTAGTGCTCCTTATTTGTTATTTGAACCAATCGGCATTGAGTCAATTCTAATGCATGTCATACAATCAAATTCTTTTATGTAGGTGAGTTATGGTAAATATTATCGTTTTTCTTAAGTTGCAGCTTTAGCTAATTAAACCAAATTGAGTTGGCATGTTACTTTTCACATAATGCTACTTTTCTAATTTTAAATTTAAAGTACATGACTGAACCTCCATCTCAAAGTAGGCCATAAATTGGCTTTTTACTTATTTAATTAGAATTTACATACATACCAAAATAAATTTTATGTATTTATATATCTAATTGCTAAATTTAATATTTATTTATATTAAAGTTTAGTCATATCAAATATATTATTAATATAATATTTTAAAAGTAAAGATTATTTTTTCATATATTTTAAAATATATAATGTATAACCAATAATATCTTTGATGAATTCTGACCAAGACACAAACAATGCACAAAGACATGCCCATGAGTTCGATGACTTCTTAGTCCAAGCCAAGATACGTGAGTTGCCAAATACTAGCTACCAAGTGCAAGTCACCAAGTAAGAGTTAACAGATACAGATCACCGAGTGAACATCATCATTCATTCATCAAACCCGCGTAGCCTATCGGTGGAAGCACCCCAACATGCTTCTTGATTTTTGGAGCAACTCAATAAGAAAGACTTATTCAGTTTAAAGGCCATACTGATACTGACTGGGGGGCAAACTATTCCACTAGTCGTCATAGATGCAATTTGACACATGCACAAGAGATAGAAGCAGTAATACAACATTGCCAGATGAGAAAATGCCAGAGAAAATATTAACTACGAGCCAACAACTGATGAAGACAAAAAAAAAAAAAAAATCAAATATTCCTATTGATCTAAATATAATGATAACTTCATAATATTATATGATGTGAGAAAAACTCATTTTACAAATTGATGAGAGATTTATATAACAAGGGATGGACAATCATTCATGGGACACTGTATCTAAATTCTTCCCTAGTAAACACCAAAAACCCAACTATTCAACTTATCGTTTCTTTTATCATTAGCCCTTTCCTTGTAGCGTGAGCCATAAACAAACTAGTATTCAACATATAAATATTTAAAATTTGTGAAGCATGCTGATAAATCCTTCTCAGGGCGTGAAAGGTGAAACTTGAACTTTTTTTTCACATTTGTTTGAAGCTTTTATCTTTTTCAAAAGTGCTTTAACAGTTGGATCTTAGAAAAAAAAAATTTCCGTGACCTTTTAAAAAAGGGAAATTTACATAAGTAGTCCATAATTATTATATATTTACATGTCTCACACCTAAACTTTCATATTTACATATAAAATATTTTGATGCTTTATATTTATGCACAAAACTTCTTTTTTTTCTTTTTAAAATGTAATAATAATCCTAATTTTGACTTGCTAGGCAGAATTTGAATGTTTAGTGTGTGTGTATATATGATGTTTAAATATGAAATATATAAATACATCAGAATTATGTGTTATTTATGTAAATGCTCTTCACGAAAGAACAAAAATGATGGGCCCGTAGCCTGGGCACGGGAAAAAAATTACGTACGTCAATCGTACGCAGAGATGTGTACGTAATATGGTACACGGGCGTTATACGGGGGTTACTTGGGGGTTACAAACATGTTATAACTTCCTTGTAACTTTCGTGTAACTCAGCTATAACCTACGCTTTTATTTTATTCATTGGGATTACAAAATTACAGCGGGGTTACGCGAGAGTTATACTTGAGGCACAACGGGATTACTCCTGTGTAACTCCCATGTAACCCTAAGATAAGCAATTTTTTTCCCTGGGCACGAGCACTGGATGGCTAGCTTGAGCCAAACGTTGAACCTCTTGGCCAGTAATCAGAATCTCTAACTCTCGGGATACTCCCTGGCCTTTCCCCCACCCTCAGCTCCCTTATCCTTTTCCTAATCCGACCACTCTCTCTCTCTCTCTCTCTCTCTCTCTCTCTCCGCGTTCCAAGGAGAAGTGGAGGAGGACGAGGGCGACTGATAATCTCGTGCAATTGGGATTCAGAAGCAGGTGCGAAGCGAAGCACCAAATGGCATTCTTGTTGCCGCAGTTTAAGAGCTCTGTCGCCGCTTTAGACGCCCACTTGCGATTCTCTGACCACACTCTTCACTGTAATTCCCTCTCCTTCCTCTCCAACCTCTCAATTAAAATTTTGTTTTCAAGGTACTTGGCTTTTCAATAGAAGGGGGAGAATCATTCCGGCATTCTCGCGTGCTTTTTTAATCTTGGAATTACAAATGTTTAAAAATTGCTCATGCAATCTGATCTGCTGTGAGGAAGGTTTGCATTTGGGTGTGTTGGGAGAGATGCGAAAACCGATTCGAAAGTTCCAAAGCAAAACTTAGAACAGATGCACACAAGACAAGAAATCACAGAAATTACAAACAACACCAAGAGAGTGTTTGACTGCCCCAAAGATTTAGGTTAAGTAAGATTTAGTTAATCCGATAAATCTGGATTTATTAGATTCAGGTTTTGTTAAATCCAGAAGTATGTTTTGTGTGATTTAAGTTAAATCCACTTAAGTACGTATGATGTGTTTGACATTTTATTGCAGGAATTAACACATACTTTCTTTTGCACAAGAGAAATTTTGAAAACCAACTTCAACACGCATGAAATCCAAAAACAAAGCTGAAATATAAAATTTGAACTGCATGAATTCGGTTACTAGCATCGGGGCATCGTGATAGGGTGCACCGATGCTCCGACAGGCATTATGTCATTGCAATGTTGCGCTCTTGGGTTTTTGAACCGGGAATAGGAGCTGCAGCGCTTTTTGTCTCGACGCTAGGGCGCTGCGGCGCTCTCCTCTGGGAGTTAGTGTGTGTGTGCCCGGGTTTTGAGACCTGTATCAAGCATAGCGATGCAACCTTCTGCGTGCTAGTGTACAGGCAGCACGGCCGAAACCAGTATAGGGTGTCCGGTACCCCCTCGAGCAAACTCACCGTCAAGAAACCAACTGAATTTAAGGCTCTGAGCGACAATTGATCAGCACAATTAGGCCTCACATAATAACAGTGTGAAGCCTGATATTCTCATTCTAGTGATTGATCACCTTGTTATAGCTCGTGAAATAGTCTTATTTTCCATTTAGGCTCCTTTTTCCTTAGTTTGTAATATACTTTCTTTATAATTTTTCCATTGGCTCTTACATCTCTACTGTATTTTTCCAATTCCCATTTTCTTCTCTATTTCTCTAGTGACATAACATGGAAACGAGATGAAGGGTGCTGAAATTGGATGATGAAATTTTTACGCTGTGATTGTAGAAGAAGAAAGAAGGGATCTGTACCAAGAAAATGAAAAGTAAAGGAATTGAATTATTTTCTTCTGATTGAAAGTTTTTAGAGAATAAAGAAAATAGTCTGCCCTCTTCTTGTTTGGAGGATGAAGGAAAGGGATTGAAAAATAATTTTTCTATTTGCTTGGATTGGTCTTTTCTCCTATTCAATATGGACAAAGGTATGCTACTATTACATCGACATTCCATAAAAGTATCAAGAAGAACTTCAAAATTGTTAATTGCAAGTTGATGGAAGCAAACAACATAATGATCTCCAACATAAAACTCTTTTTTCAGTTAAACTCACTAATATAAAATATTGTAAATTAAAAACATCATATCTAGTAAATTGTTGATAGCATAACTAATAATTGTTACTCACATATTGATCCTCTATAATACAACATTCTTTCTAATATTCATCTATGTCTCTCTTTGAGACAATTGAAAAAGGCACTTGCATTGTCTTGATTTTTAACAAGGAAAATTGGTTATCTTTCCCTTTAATGTTCATTACAATTTTCTTCTTACAATAAATGCATGCCCTATTTTGTAGTCATTTAGAAACAAATTTTTAAAAAGCATAGGTATTGAATAGGGTGCAAATGAGTCAAGACGACTTGATAAGTGGCTCGTGATTAGAGCTCGATAAGCTAACAAGCCAAGTTCAAGCCAACCCCGACATGACTCGTTAGCTCGTAAGCCGGTTTATTTTTAAAAAATATTAACATAAAATATCCTCAAAATATATTAAATTTCAAAACTTTATCTTTTAAAGTATTAAAAATGTTAAGAAAATAATATTTTTTATGATATATTAAGTGACTTCTTATTATTTATCTCCTACTTGTTCATTCTATTTGTCAACTTATTATAAAGTTATTTTAAATTAATATCATTTTTTTATTTTATATTAAACAAGCAGACTTGAGGGTCGGCTCGAACTCGTAGACTTAAGCTTGAGCTCAAGCTCGATAAAATAATTAAGCTAAGTTCAAGCCGAGGGCCTCCAACTCGACTTAACTAGTTGACACCCCTAGTATGGAACATAGCATTCCCTTTGCAGAATGAAACACAAGTTTTTTCTTATTATTTATTTAAATAAAGGTAAATTTATTATGATGTTATAAAATTAAAGAATCATTTAAAATTAGAATTTTTATACTTATCAAAATGCAATTTTTTATCATTTTCAATTATTTATATTGTTTTAATACATCAAAACATGAACAAATTAGCATGAAACTAGTTATGTAATATCTATTTATCTTGAAATCATATTATTATTATAAAAATTTTTTTTGGAGTGAGCTTAAAATGAGCTTGTTAGAAATTAATAATACGTGATAATTTGTTGAAGTTAAAATCCTCAAATTATGAGTGTGGTTCATCGAGACTCACGGTATACGTAAGTACACATACCGTACAGAAAATGTAGAAGTGAATAGGCTATCATTCCTATGAGGATCTCTAGTATATTTCAGATACATTAATTATTAATACTTATTATCTTTAGTTTTTATTTAACTATTACAAAGACAAAATTAATCTAAAATATAAATCCTAACTAGCACAAGAGATGACAAATTACAAGATCATCATGAATTTGTGATAACTTATGCTAATATTTAGCAATTCTTTTGAGATAATAATTTTTAAATGTTAATCAAGAACATATTAATCTCATATTCTCTGTCGATTGCTGAATGATTTAATCTTTCCTAATTTTTTATATGTTTATATTATTAGAAAAGATCGATTTCATTAAAAATAATTTTCTATTGTTTGCAAGTTCCTAAAAACACACACACATAAATATATGTATATGTATGTGTCTATACATGAAAAATAGGAGTTCTACCAAGAAAAATGGGGGAGAGAGTTTGATAAATAATAAAAGAAAGTGGCATTATGATGAGGTTGATGGAGAAATATATTTTGTACAGAGTGAGGTGGAAGAATATAAAAGATGCTGGGGTAGAAATGACAGGAAGATTTTGTCTTGAATCTATGAATGGGGGGGGGGGGGGGGGTTTTTTTTTTGTTTTACAA